AGATAGATAGATAGATAGATAGATAGATAGATAGATAGATAGATAGATAGAAAGAAAGAAACATAGAAAGATACATAGAAAGAAACATAGAAAGAAACATAAAAAGATACATAGAAAGAAACATAGAAAGAAACATAGAAAGATACCTAAAAAAATAGAAAGAAGTATTCAGATTTTACTACTTATATGACTATAGACAAATCCCTCAGTTTCCCCATATGTAAAATGAGGAATTTCACTAAATGATTTCCTGGGTCCCTTCCAGTTCTAGATCTGTGATCCAAAGTTGTAGGCTATGCTTCATTTATTCTTATTTTCTTTCGTGTAAATTTTCCAGTTAACTAGCATCTTTTCTTGAGAATTCATGTAAGAAGCAAAGCCAGTCATGTCATCCATCATCTCTTAGAAAAATTAAATTAACTCCTTTTTTGATCATTAAAAATAAAGAATTCTGAGTACCTTTTAATAAGAAAAAGAAATAACCATAAACAAAGAAGATATTTAAAGTTTCAATGAAGACAATGTTAGATAACAGAGTAAATGTGTGAGGTAGTCCTGTAAAAATAATATTGGGAGTGCTAAAGTTCAGGATAAGTTGAGGCTGGTGAGGGAAACTAAAGTGAACAGAAAAGTTTTGTTTTGTTTCTTAGTTATACTTCATTATTTTTTATTTCCTCATAGGATGAATTTGTTTGGTCTTTCACAAAGCTTTCTGCAGTCTTGGTTTTTCTTCCACTACTTCTGACTGTTTTTTGAGATAATGCTGCTCACAGTCAACCATCCTTCATAAGACGTTAAAAATGAGTTATACTTCCAACCAGTATTGCCTTGAGCTGCCATATATTTTGACTTTGTAGAGATTAATTTACGTAGGCTAAATGGCCTTTGAAAGTGGTAGTCCATGTCTTTGCCCTTTCTTTTATGGATTTCCCATCACTTAAAATAGGTCAAATTGGGGTTACCACAGTTGTATACTGTATCTTCTCATTTTAATTCATTCACTAGTTTCATATTGAGTTTTGTCTTTGTTTCAACAGGTAGAGTTGTTTCACTCTACACAAATAGCTGACTGGGAGATAACTCCCATTTTCATAATTAGTCCTTTTCTATCTGTTATAACCAGTTCCATTTTTTAATGATGTTATTTGGTGCTCTAATACTTCCTCCCACTCTGGAAGAAAGTATTCTTGATGTAGTTGTGAGACTTCTTTATAGTCTTTTAGTCTATAGCCTTTGAGTTCTCTCATTTCTCTTTCCTGAACCATGTTTTCCAACCTTTTCACTGCCAAAAATGTTAATCTGTAATTGATACTCACTGTCATTACTTCATCTCTATTCACTCAATACTAAACTCCTTTTGATGTACACTACTACATTGAAATTTCAGTCATAAAAGCCACCAGTGACTTCCTAATTGTCAATGCCTTGTAATCAGTACTCATCTTCTTACTCTAATTTTGAAGACCCTAGAATTCTGGACTGCACTTTTCTGTTTCTCCCCCACTCATCTTGTCTACTTTTCAGCTTTTATTTCTGTGAAGGTGATCTCCACATCTCCAGTCTTGACCTCTTTCCTAAGCTCCAGACAAATATTTCTGACTTCCAGTTAGGCATCTCCACCCAAATATCCCACCATTATCTTAATTCCAACATATCTAAAGTAGAATTCATTATTTTGTTCTGAAATCCTGATCTCCCTGCCTTCCTTTCTCTACCAGTGATACTAACATTCTCTCCCAGGCACCAGAATTCATAACCTAAGAATCATTTTTAACTTCCGTATAATTTGTCCTATACACTCAATCCCTCTCCAAGTTCTGTAGATTCTTCCTCTACCATATGTTAAGCTTCCCTTCCTTTCTTAACCATTCCTCTGTAACCATCCTATTTCAGGTCCTCCTGGCCTCTTACCCTAGCAACAGATCTTCTGATCTATGTGTGTTTGACAGATTGGTCTAAATGATGTATGAATGTGATTGTGTCATTTCACTGCTTATAAATATTCTATAACTCCTTCCTGTCTTTGAAATAAAAGCAACACTTCTTAGCCTGGCATTTAAGGCCTATCCATTCTAGCTCTAACCTTCCTTTTCAGCATGCTGCTCCCCTCATTCTGTGCATAGACTGGGTGGTTTTTTCTCCATTTCCCAAACATTCCTGATGCTTTGTGGTCTCCTGCCTTTGTCTCTTGTTCCTTTAGGCTGGAAATAGTTTTTTCTGATCACTGCCTACATAAATCCTACCCTTGCTTGAAGGCCAGACTCTAATATCACGTATTCCATGAAGTCTTCCTTCAGTCTCCCTCTCCTTTCTCTCTGCCCATTCCTTTCCCTAAGCTGGAAGTAATTTCTTCCTCTGATCTCATAGCACTTTCATTCTTCCTGCAGGTCAGGTATCCCATGAACTTTGCCTTCCAGAGTCCCACAGTTCTTAATATAGACATACCATTATAGTAAAGGAATGACTCCACGGATTTTCTCAGGAACTGACCTCTGGTCCTTTGATCAGAGTCATTCCCTGTGGGTGCCCACGAATCAGATCCAGAGCAGCAGACATTAAAGGCACAAAAACACTTAAGATATCCTAAGGACCTGGACAGCAAAATTCTTCTGATACCATTCTAAGAATGAGGGTTCACAGGAGAACTTATTAATTCATATACAAGAGCCCCACCTATGGACTCTGTTAGGTCCAGAATATATGGATATGTTAGGTCCATAATATAACCAGAATTCTCACCAGGCTTCAATCTTGATCTCTCTGTATGTATGTCTCCCACTTTTCCCT